TCTCTCTCTCTCTCTCTCTCTCTCTCTCTCTCTCTCTCTCTCTCTCTCTCTCTCTCTCTCTCTCTTCAGACTTCCTCTTCTTCTTCTTCTTCTTCAGATTGGAGACTTATACTAGTTGGACAGAGATCGGTATTGGACTTCGGTGGTATGAGACTGTGGTACTTACCGGATTGGAGACTTGGAGATTGTTGGGGTTGATACTTGGCTGCATCACAGTTCGGACACCGGTTACATTTGGACTCTGTACCTCCGACATTGGTGACCTATTGTCCTCGACATTTTGATCTTGTTGGATGACACTTTTGGACTACCATATCGGTGACCTATCAGAATCTATCTCGGTGACCTTCGGTGCTGTCTACCTCCCCCACCTCCCTCGTCTCTCCTCCCACCTCTCATCTGTGTATGTGTGTACGAGGTCTGGGCATCGTCTATGCTTGGCCCAGACCCCACCATCTCACGATTKTATGTGTGTGGAGTGATTCTTGAGTCAGTCTGTGTGAGTCAGTCTACGAGAGTCAGTCCGTTTTATCAGACTTCCACTGCATATATGCTCATCCTACATTGGTTGATCTTTGGTTCTGCCCATACTCATTGRAGTATGTAACAGTTTTGGTATCGGAGCAGACCATATTAACGGATCTGCTCACCAGGTAAGTCTGATGAGGACGTAGATTGTTGTTTCAATCATCCAAATCAGCTCTGAATTACTATCGAGTTCAAAGTTGCAAATTTTTTTTTTTTCTTTTTCGGTACTCTACTTATTTTGGCATTGCCGTTTCAATTCGGTATTCGGACTTATAATTCGGATTTCTGTTTCCTTCCGGTATGCTGTTTATTTGGGTTCCGATTGAGTAATACTAATCCGATAATTGATTAAGTTTCGGATTTCTGATTTTACACGTATTAGGGTTGAATCGGTATCATTTTGAAATTCGGCTTTTCTGATTTCCATTCAGCATTCCGTTTTTCGGCATTTTGTTGTAAATCCTATATTTCGTTTTCTTTTGGATTTCCATTGTCTTTCAGTATTGGAAATTAGGGTTACGAAAATCTTTGGTTTTTAGATCAACTTGGGGAAATTCGAACGTTTTGGGACCGTAAATCCGGAAATTCCGCCGAAACGTGGAAAATTAGGGTTGGGACCGAAATTTCCGCGAATTTTTTTTTCCGTTCCCCTTGTTGGAGAAATTCCGAAAACGGGTTTAAGCCTTTAAAAATCTGATTTTGACGGTGGGAATCCCCGAAATTTCACGTTTTTGGAAATTCCAGTGTTTTTCCTTCTGAATTTTTCCGAAAATTGTTTTCGAGCAAACTAATCCGTATCTGACCCTCAAAACTGCAACTTCCGGGTAGTTCACTAATTAACGGTGAACTCCCGGACCAGCATTGATCTCAACAGATACCTAATCTAAATACAATTCAACTTCGTTCATTATCATTATTGCAAACATTGTTTATTGATTATCATCATTATTGCAAATATTGTTATTTGAAGAGTTATTATTTCGTATGAATCATTAATTCAATTTTATTGATTAAATAAATCATCATTAAATTCCTTATTACGAATTTTTGAATCCTTTATGGGAAAATTACTTTTCTGTTTTGATTAGGTGTCTACAGTCCATCAGTCGGACAGGGGACTGTATGCGAATTGTTTGACTGTTCTACCCCTGTTCCCACCCTCCCTACCCTCCCCGTACTCTGTGACCACCGGGTTCCTCAAGTACCACATCAGCTAGCACTGATGTCGATGGAACAAGACACCGGGGCACTGCCACGACGCAGTGCCAGGCTTGCAGGGCGTGCCCGCTCTGTGATACCTCTCCGACGCAGGACTCAGCGACTCAGCAGCGGGACGACTCGAGCGGCATCGAGTACAGCATTGACGGTACCGGTTACCACCGGAGTTCTTCCCGCATGCCTGGTCCAAGGGGCCGGTGAGCCGTTGGCAGATTACCTTCAGCGGGTACAGGCATTCACCGATGCCGTAGCAACCGCAAAGGCACAGGAAGAAGCAGAGGCGGAGCGTCAGCGGCTGGCCAATGAGGCGGCAGCCCAAGCTCAGCAGACTGCTGAGGATGACGCAGCAGCACGGGACCAACGGAATGCCGCCAGCACGGAATCCCTGATTCATAATGAGAATCAGTGGACAA